CACTAACCAATTACAGCAAGAGCATTTCTAGAGCAGAGCACCCCAATCCTTACATGTACAGTTGCAAGAGCATTCCTAGAGCAGAGCACCCCCAATCCTTACATGTACAGCTGCAAGTACTACGTAGGAGGTAACCTACATATCAACATGACAAATAGACCCTTTTGCTTGCTGTGAGGCGGACAATGGACTTCCCACCCAGATCTGTAAAGTAGGAAGACCTTTAATCAGATATTTGGGGGGAGGGGGAAACTGGGAATACCCCCCTCTAATCTGGGCCACACCTTCCACTGGAAGCCTACACAAGGACGTGGAAAAGGCCGCTTTTGCTCTTTGCCGGCTTGCCCTCACCTTGCTGGCAAGTCCACTCCTGCACTGGCATTAGAACGTACTTTTCCAGGACTCTGGCATAGCGTAAAGACCAGCTGAGACCCCAGCCTCATGGACTGAGCAGCTACTACTTTCTTGAACCTTCCACTTCATAGGCAGCCACTGCTGGATTAGCTGCACCATTCAGTCACTCTAATCCACACATATACACGTATGTGTGTGTAGAGAGACTCATTCTATAAGCGCCGTTACTCCAGAGAATCCTAATACAAAACCCTACCTCAAAAATAAATGAGTTATTATTAAAACAAATCATGAAAACCTATATTTGTCACTAGACCAGGAGAAACATTATTCAATTAAATACTACTACATATCTTTACAAGAATAGTAGACATCATAAACTCTACAGCACGTTCCTGAACTATGCCAAATATTAACTGTTCTGCATCCATAGTCTGATAAGTAAATGCAGCAATGAAGACAAAAGAAAATGGTTCTAAATTGCAACGTGAAAAATATAAAACCGGAGAAGTTTGAAATACTAGAATACACTACTATACTATTCATCAAAATTTAACTGAGAAACATACGCAAAAGAAAGTTCAAGAAACAGTAAATTTCAAATGAATTTATAACAGAATAGGTCAAGCTACATGAGCAAAGTTGGAAGGCAACAGTTTATGAAGTCCAACATCTGGCCTTGCATGGCCCCACCACTTACTATCTGGACAACTATGGAAAGACAGTTTTTTTTTTTTAAGGTCAGAAACTTATTATATAAATTGACAAATGTTCACTCAGTTTTTCAGGGTTGTAGAACATGTTCTCAGCTGGTTACAGTGGCATGCGCCTTTAGTCGCAACTTTGGGGGAGGCTGGGACAGACACTGTGAGTCCTGGAGAACAAGGCTAACTAACCTGGACAACACACGGAGGCCTACCTCAGCCTCCCAAAACAGGGAGGAAAGAACTTATGTAGTCCTACTTTAATAGGCCTGAAAATGGGACAGGTTATGATACCTGGCCTGGCAAGTCTTACGTCAACTTGACTCAGGCTACAGTCACTGCGAAAGAGGGAGCCTCAACTAGAAAAAGATCCACAAGATCAGGCCACAGGCAGGACTGTAGGACATTTTAATCAGCAACTGAAGGGGAGGCCAGCCCACTGTGGGTGCTGCCACCCCAGGGCAGGCGGTTCTGAGTTCTGTGAGAAAGGAGGCTGAGCAAGCCGTGGGGAGCAAAGTCAGTCAGCAGCACTGCTCCAAGGCTCCTGTGTTGGCTCCTGCCTCCAGGTTCTTGCCTTGTTTGAGTTCATGTCTTGACTTCCTTCATTAATGAACAGTGATGTGTAAGCCAAATAAATAAGACCTTCCCCCCCAAAACTTGACCCTAACTAGAACAATACCCCAAAACACAGTTTTCACTTATTCGTGAGAACGCCACTAGCAACTAACTGCACAGATGACGCTCACAGGGCTCACACTGCTGTAATGTCATGCCTTACGTACGTCTCACGCTCTGTGTCTTGCTTCCTAATTTTCAGTTTTGGAAGTTTTAACTCAAAGTACTGTTGAGAAAAGTTAGGTACCGCTCATGGAGATACACACCTACAATCCCAGCATGCAGAGGCAGAAGCAGGTGGATTTCAACACGTTTTCATCCCATCTGATCTACACAGAGAGACCCAGACCAGGTAGATATACATAATGAGGACCACCAAAAAAGAGAAAGAACGGGGGTGGGGGTGGGACTAGGGGTGATGTCTTTGCCAGCAACATGCTTGTCATGAAAGCATGAGAGTCAGACTTCAGTCCCCAAAACCCACATGAAAGCATGTACCTCAAACCCCAGTTCTAATAAGGATCCCTGGGGCTTGCTGGCCAGCCAGCCTAGCTAAATCCATCAGTTCCAAGTTCAGTGACAGATCTGTCATTAAATAAATAAATAAGAGCGAGAAAGACAGACAGCAGGTGCTGGTGGCCTTAATCCTAGTACTCAGAGGTTCTAGAAGCAGGTGGATCTCTAAGTTTGAGCCAGCATGGTCTACTTAGAGAAACCCTGCCTCAAAAAACAAAAGCAAACAAACAAAAAACAAGATAGGGCCAGTCACAGAGCTCACATGTCACTTGCTGACAATCTGGTTTCCATCTCCAGAATCCACACAAAGACAGAGCTCTGACTCACAGCTGGAATCCCACTCCTTCAGCCAGACAGGGAGCACCCCACCGCTAGACTACAGTACCCAGCACAGCACAAACGACAAGAGAAACTGCCTCACCAAGGCGGAAGGAGAGAACACCCAAATCTGCCCCCATCTCACACCCATGCCAGCACGCTCACCTGCACTGCACACTCACACAGACAAGAATAAACAAAAGAGCTTAAATAAAGAAACAAGATGAGTTACTGAGGACAGCACTCAACACCAACCTCTGACCTACACGTACATATAATGGTACACACGCACAAAATAAAGAGAAAACAAAAGTTAATAATCAACTTCTGCAGACTGAATAAGAAAACAATTATGTGAACTAAAAAACAATGTGTTTCCCTTTTAAGGTCATTTTTAAGCAATGTTGTGGAAAGCTTCTTGAAAGTTAGAGAAGAAGAATCAACTCCAGTGGTAGAGGTTTAGGCGTGAACATTTATCAGTGATTGCTGTGTCCTTGAGGAGAGCAATGCCTAAGGTACAAACACCTGCTCAGAGATGAAAACAATTCCACACAGACGTATTCATGAAAAGACTAATCCCAAATCAAACTGTAGCCACACTATCTACTTAACTTCTCCTACGCTGATCTCCTCATCTTTGAAATGGCCCGTGTGTGTTAGGAGAGTTAAATAATAAAGTTGCCTGGTCCATGGTTCCTCCTTGGAACAGAACTACAACTCTCACGATGTCCACTAAGAATACCAAGATGCAGTAACGGCAGCAATGAACCAGCTGCACGACCCACTCTCTAGTTTCCGTAACTTCTCAGGCCCATATTTAATCATCACAGGTACGCTGAATGGCAGTAGAGGAAAGCCGGTCACCCTCTCCTCCCAGCCATTCTGCCCGGAAATGCAGGTGAAAGGGAAGCGCAATGGGACAAGTTTCCCATCTTTCCCCCCTGCCCCCACGCAGCAGACAAGCACTGTGACGGACCTACCTCACAGTCCTTTCAGGACTTCACTTCAACAAACCATTGGCACAGAATTTAGATTTCTCCCTAACAGTGAGAAGACTAGCGATTCCTGTTTGGCCCCAGCACATCACAGAGAAGAGAGGAGTCTGAGTCTTCCTGCAAAGAACGCTGTTTTCACATACGAGCAACGAAGTGTGGACCACACTACCAGATCTCCACTTACTGTCCACACTACATCAGGTTCAGAAAAAGAAACTTCCAAGTTCTTTGAGGTAGAGGAGGAGAGGACTTGTGCTTATCTGGAAGCTCACTGCCGAAAGCTCCAAACGTGCTGAAGCTGGGTGATGGGCACCACAGCTCACTACACAGGCCCCTACGCTGTCCTACTTTTTATATACCTGGTCACTTCCATAACACGTAGTTCCAAAACGTGTATATGCATGTGTCTGTCAGAATTTACATCGAAAGCCACAGCACAATAATCTGGTAAAAAAATAAAATATGATTTAAAGCTCTCCTGCTCCAAAAGTAACTGATTTTCGCCTACATACTTTGTCACTGCAGAATCTGTATCGAAATGAGCAGACTACCAGTAAAGGCCTAACGAAGGAAAGAAGTAACTGCCTGCAATAAAACAAGTCTAACCTTGAAAATACAGAGGCAAAAAGGACAGCTGCTGGACAGTTATCACAACTATCACACACTCAGGCTTGGCGGCATGGGTTGGCTTCTAACACTGGTTGAATGAGAGAGGAACTGATTTTCAAGCCAGATTCCTTTTTGATTCTTTTAAATTGAGAAGCAACAGAGAATTAAAGTCTAAAAAGGCTCCACTAAAGATAATTTCTAACAACTGACTGGAGGAAAAAGTGTCTCCTATCACAGCCTACCACGGCAGAGTGACAACTTCCAATGATCAAGTCTGTTTCATTACTAAACATGAATTTACCAAAGCACAGGCTCACACTGTGGCTGCCTCAGGCCTTTTTCAAATTGCCATTCAATTATCACAAGATCCCCTTAACTATAACCCTAAATTCACTCCAAAACATAACCTTGGTTAGCTAGTTCTAAACCTAAACTAGCTAAAACGAAAAGAAGGCAATGTTAGGCTTCTGTTAGCAGCATGGACAGGAAGTCCGTGTTTAACTAACTACGGCAAAACATACTGAGGCAAAGATTCACAGTGGCTGTCAAGTCCAAAAGTCAGGTATTTAAGATGATAAGGAGAAGCGCGGCGTGCCTTGCAGACACTCCAAAAGGGGAACCATTACAGCCAAGCTCTCCGCTCAACACCTGACCACACACACTCGCACTCACATCCTACTCCACATCACACAAAAGTCACCTCACATTCAAAACTCGAAGCGTCCAACCTTGCACAACTCTCTTTAAACTGAGAGGCAAGCAAGTGCTGCATTCAGGTCACGCAGCCTTTTCTGTCCGCCCGCGGAAAAGGCCATTAGACTGAGTGCGGCACCTGACCCCGGCCTCTCGCCGGGGAAAGCAGGCGCTCGTGAAATATTCACGCACTCACCAGGTTGAACACGGTCTCCACGATGTCCCTGTTGGACACCTCTCCGACCTCCACCAGGCCCGCGAGCACGGCGAACTTCATCCGCACGCCCCGGATGGGGAGCCCCGGCCTCAGCGACAGCGCGCCCCCGTCGGGGCTCTCCCCGCCGCCCCCGTCGTCGGCCGTCGGCGGGCGGGACGGGGCTCGGCCGTCGTCGCCGGCCATGGCTGGTTCGCGGGGGCTCCGGGCCGCGGGCGGCGCGAGCGCCGAGGGTCCCCGCGGCAGCTGCTGAGCGCGCCGCCGCCTCCTCCCCGGGAGCGCCCGTCCAGCCCTCCCGCAGGCCGGCCGCAGCGCCGAAGCCTGGGGGAAGAGGGACGAGGGTGAGGGCGCGGGGCCGCGGCTCCCCGGGGAGGACCGCGGGGGGACCGCGGGGATGGCGGGGCGAGCCGGCGGGGCCCGGGCGGGCGGCTCCGGGGGCGGGCGCGGGCAGGTGCGCGGCGGGGAGGGCGCGCGGCGGAGGAGGGGACGGGACCGCGA